GGCAGTAATAGTGAACATATTGTGTGTACTGTATATATTTAAATCAATTAATATATCTACATTTGTAATTTTCTTAAACTGTGACCCGTTGACCCGACGGGTCAGGTCGGGTTGAACCACTGACCTGACCCGACTCGTTTGGAGCTCTAATTATGTCATGCAAAATAATTAATAGTTAAATCAAGTATAACTAGGGACATAACTTTAGATATAATTTCTTTTATTTTATAAAAAAATTTATAAAAGACTATGATTTGAATGTATAATTTTTAAACAATTAATTTTACCAAGAATGTACTGTGATTTTTTTTTAAAATTAATGTCATTAAATTCAATTACTAGCTATTGGGAAAATATAAAAATAAAAAATTCTTTAAATACTATCATTTATATATTTTATTTGACAGTGCAAATTGATGGTGCTGTGCAAGCCATGGTCCATAAAGCTTTTCTATGTTTTCAGATACAATGATAATTTCATCCTCCTCAGCTATAATATTATCACCTTTCATATCTGCAATCATCATAAAAACAAGTGGAGTTCCTTTAGGCAGCTTTCTCTTCACCTGCAATTGTAAAATCAGATGTAATTTAAAAAAGAAAACAATGCAAGATGGACAGTATGAACATGCACACACTACATAAGCTTAATTACCTTATTCTTGTGCAAGTTGGAATAATTAGCATACAAGGCCTCTTCCTTAGCACAAGATTTACTCTCAAGTCCCAGCACAACTACATTTTTGTTCACAGCCATGTTCTCAAAATCACCATCATCATTACTATGCTTGAACACAAACCATGAATCTGCAAAAGTTTCATTCCCAGCACCAATATAAGCTCCTTTTTTTTAGGTCTTTATTACTATCAAAATGCCGATTTAGTTCTGTTATATAGTTATTACCCAACAAGTTCAACTGCTGGATTGCTTGAGGTAGCCTCAAATTTTTATCTGAAACAGGCCCATAGAGATTGGGTACTACCTCCTTAAGAGCAAAGACAGTGTGGGTAGGGTGATTGAAGTGCCAGTTCAGGAGCCAGAGGGCCACCATTGCAATATCACATTTTTCATTCTGACGCCAATTTGATTTATCATTGAGGTGGTTAAGCAAGTGTATGAAACTAATTAGTGGATTTTTGTCATTGTGAGGGTGGCCAAGATATAGTTGGATGAACATGAATGGCAGCTCAATAGAAATGAGCTCTTTATTGCTAATGAGACTGATAGCACCATCTTTTTCAAGATCCTCCCAGGTGATACCTGACTTCATTATTTCTGATGATGGATTCATATCAATTGGATCACCAAGCAGTGCAGGTGTCAATACATGCATCAGACAATGAGTATCTAGTTGTAAAAGACATGTAGTATATTTGGGAAAGGAGGTAGTCACAAGGTAATGCACAGTATTAATCCAGTGTTCAACTTTGGATGCATAATCACTGAGCTTTAACAAGATTTCAAATAGTCTATTCCAGCTGAACAAGTGTGATTTGTCATCATAGCAGCCAATTACATATACCATCAGAGAAAAAAGCCGAACATTGTCACCACAGTCAGCAAGAGCAGCTAAGAAGTGTCCACTATTGGTAAGAGTAACTAAAAAGTGTTCAGTTACATTAAACTCATTGAAATTTTCTGTTAAAATATCATCTAGGGACCTTTCCATGTGAATTTTGTTTAGAAGGGAACATAGAATATCTGTGTAGGTTTGGAATGTCATTGGTTATAGGTGGATTATATAGGGTTGTGTTCCACTGGAATTGAATGCCCTCAATAATGCTGCTTTCATTAATAGTTGGAGAGATTCATAAGGTGATTTTTTGAGCAATGAGTTGGTTTCACTTAGATGAAGAAGCACCATATATGGAAGAGAAATGCTAGGAGGAAGAACACATATATGCTCTAGTACAGCTTCCAATGTAATATCTTCAAATTTAATATGATGTTGTCCAAGGGTAACCTTAAGATCACTGATGAATTCAGCATAATTCAGATTGCCATTGATAGACTGGTGGAGTATACGAAGTGCAAGTACTGTTTGAGCACCAGCTATACCTTTTATATTGAATAATATATTTTCTGCTGAATCAATTGGGGAACTATCAAGGTCCTAGATGAATGCACGGTTTGTATAGTTATTCTTGAAATATGTTTGCATAATCTTTGCACAGCCATGTGTCATCAATGTTGTCTTACCACGGCCAGGTCCATCTGCAACTGTTGGATGTTGGTATTCACGTTTCCAATACTCATTGAGAATATTTTGGTCATTGTTAGGTGTATACCTGGATTTATAAGAGTAGCACCAGGTATCAAGGTTTTTATGAATAAATTTCACCAGATGTCCAAGTTCTTCATTTCTACCTGTGAAAGGCAACCTCTCACCAACATCTACAAATGGCTTAATGCCCTACAAGAACAATGTAAGGAATATAAAAATGAGATGGATAATACTTGAAAAATGAAAGACATGGTCTTCAGCATAATATAACAGCATGATGGGCAGCTTGTCATACCAGTGACTCATTATTAAGCTTTGGATCTTCTCTGTAACCATTGTAGCAGCAACTTTCTGGATCTCTAAATTCTCTTAATGCTTTCAGAATGTCTGATTTTTTTTTTCTTTTTTCATAAATTTGTTCATATAGAGAGTAGGAAACAAGAAAATATATTTTATTTTTCTCATCTTAATTGACATGTATTGGTATTCCAGTTATTCTCTAACTGATAAAAACTATCATTACCTGATTCTTTAATGGAAAAAGGATGAACAAGGTAATTTGAGAATTAATTCAGGACCAAATTGGAGATGATAAAAAGGTGGAATAATAAAATAAATAACCAGAGAAAAATCAAATTAGTTAAAATTGTAACAGTATACCAAACACTCTCCAAATAAATAAATAAACAAGGAAAATATAAATAAATGGATAAATATGATGGGAAATGGATAGATAAAAAAATACTTGCCTTTACCAACTAGATAATGAAAGGAATAATTTTGAGATGAATGATGAATATTAGGCAAGAAATTGATTCAAAAAAAGAGGAATTGAAAGAAAAAAGCACAAATCAGTTATAAATAGTATACAAATAAATAAATGAAACGGAATGAATGAAAAATATTTTTTTTTTTATGCAATTTGTTCATTACCCTCTTCTTTCCCTTTACCTAATTTATTTTGCAACAACTCCCAACAATCATCCACCTTCTTCTCCAACCTCTTCTTTTCTTCCACTAAATAATTAAACAACTCCACATCACGCTTTTCTGCCTCTTCTCTCAACAACTGGATCAGCCTCTCCTCCCGATTCTCTTTCCACTTCTTCAATGCTTCTTTTGCCCCTTCATGTTCACTTTTAATATCGTCATAAATTGTCATTTTAAAAATTAAATTAAAAAAGTTTCCATAAATAATTTGGACCAATGATAAATTAGTGGGCACATGACTTGGAATTTATTTTTATGTACAATGATTTAACGACAAAAGAAAATAATTTCAACTGATAATAGAAAATACATAAAAATATAAGTTGAAAAATTGTCAGAGCACTTGCATTGTCAATGAGAAAAAACAAAGATTTATGTTCTTGAATGTAAAATTCATTTAAACAATGTTTTTATTGATATGCAATACAATATGATGATTGTCAATTACATTTGCATAAAGAAATTTCTTTGTATATAGTAAAAAAATCAATATTGTAACAATTAGATTATTTTCCTTCTGATGATTTTTGCTTTTTGTTGGGCAATAGTACACTTTCATACTGCTTCCTTTTTCTAACATTTATTGTTTTTCTTAAATATACTTCTGTTTAGATGCTTATAACTAATTTATAACGCTACTGATAATTAGCATGGAAAAAGTTATTAATAACCAATAATCGATACTACTGTATAAACTACTCTTATTGAATTACTGCGTATTATTGATCAATATGAATAATTTCCTGTTCTACAAACAAATACACTATAGAAGTTTGCCTAAATTAAAATGTGATGATGACGAAACTCGGAAAAAAAAGGTTATTATTATAGAAACTAATAATCCGAAACTTGGTCACTTTACCGAAAATGCCAAAACTGCGGTTTGTTGCCGAAACTACAAATGAATGCTGAAACTCAATACATTGATTTGCTAGATGAATTTCCAATCCACTAGGATAAGCGCTATCCCATTTCTGATGACAATATTACAAGTTGCTTCATAATGACCTTTGGTTTTTTCATCTCCTTTTGTAAAATGGTTCAAACTTCCAACAATGGTCTATCGCCAGCATGTTTTCTTTTGTTATTTGACAATTCTGGTGTAATTGATGAACTTTCATTTTCTTGTGAAAATAATCATCTAAAGTATTTGATGTCTTTTGATCGGATACCATTATTTTAAATTTTTTTCAAAGTAATAAATTTTTACTATAAAAATATCCCACACACAAGTGATATATCACATGGTAATAAATCCAAATTATTTTCGTGGAAAGGTTATTTGGGGTATACTGCAACAAAACCAGACAAAGTGAACATTGGTATTACCAAAGATTTCAGGGATCAATAGTGTTTGTTTAATATCACAATTGTATCACAATGTAATGTGATCATGAAAGCATAATGGACACTGTAAAACAAGCCATTTTATTGGCCAAATTTTGTCGATCTTATTTCAAATCATCACACAAAAC